TAGATGTACTTCAATGGTAAAGCAAACCTGAGTTCAATCCCTAGTACTGAAGCCAGAATTAGACAAGCAGTCAGTGTAGATAGGTAAATCAAGTCAGGTCGGATCAAGGAGGCCAGTTTTGAGTGAGTCTGGGAAGTTGGAAACTGTGCCCTGAGGAATCTTATCAAGAACCTGCCCCTGCTCCAACCTGTTGCCAAGGTAAACTGTCCCAGGAATTTCTCCTCCCTACAGGGAGCTATAATGTTGTCATAGTATCCTTGGCTACTGCATCCTGCCCTTTCCCCTTGGCCCACCTGCTTCCCACCTTTTGGCTGTCTCACTGAGCATTCCTGGGCCTAGTCACGTACACAGGAAGGAGAAAGATAAGGGGGGAAAGGCAGGAGAACAAAGGAAGCCTAGGACATACAAAAGGGCAGAATTCCTCCCCTCTTGGGATACCAGGATACCAGCTATGGCCCTCTTCTCCTTCCCTGGAGAAGTCTACCCCTTTTTAAATAAATCCTGCTTTAGATGCTTGCCTCGGCATGCTTCTCCGATGTTCAAACTTCAACATGTGGGGAAGCTGGACTGATGGTATCAGTACCCCCTCTCCAAAAAAAGGGGAAGAAAACAAAAACAAAAGCACAGAGTTAGCATTTGTTTAATTCTCTGTTTTCCAAATAGCCCATAGAAGACCATTCACTTCTGCCAATTCACTATGTGCTCCAAAGAAGTCACAGGATACAAACCACATCTTAATGGCAGAGGCAGAGCACTTGGGACAGGTTTCTCTTCTGGGTCTCCTTTCCCTGATCAGTCCCTTGGTCAGCCCTTTCCATAAAGCCTGCACTGATCGCCTCTAATGATACCCATGTACCTTTAATCTTGAGTCAATCTAAACCTCTTTCTCAGTTCAAATGTGTCTTTTCACATTTCTGCTCCTAGGTTTCTGAGAATTGGTGAAATAACTGACCTGGCTCATAATAATTTCATACAATTTAACTTCATCTTTGTATGAATTTAAAAAATCTCATAGTAGATTGTGTAAAATCTCTTACACAATCAGTTTAAACAGTTTGTTCTGTCTGTTCTGCTTTATTTGGGGCCAAATGAAGTAGAGAGGGGAGATCCTGGGTGTTATGATTTAGATAGGAAGTGTTCCCCCAAAACTCGAGACAACACAAGAATGTTTAGAGATGAAATGATTGGGTATAGTGCCTTAACTTCATGAGTGCATTAATCCACTGATAGGGATTAACTGGCTGGTAAATGTAGACAGGTAGGGTGTGGCTGGACAAGGTGGGGGGGAGCTGTTTTTGAGTTTTATATTTTGTCCCCTATAAGCAGAGCTCTCACTGCTTCCTGATTTCTATATCCCGAGCTGCCTTCCTCTGCCGTTCCTCTGCCATGATGTTCTGCCTCACCTCAGAACAACAGAGGCCCAGAGCAGTGGAGTTAACTGGCCATGGATTGAACCTCTGAAACCAGGAGCCCAGAGACACTTTTCCTCCATGTTGTTCTTGTCAGGTCTTCTGGTCCCAATGACAAAAACATTTACTGAAACACTAGTATTTGAAGTCAAAAAAAGCAGAGTTTAAATTATGGTCAGCAGCTGGGTGAGGCTTTTTATTAGGCAGGATCTCTGAATCTCAGTTATACATTTTGTTTTCAAATTTAAAAAGTAAATATCTTTTAGTTACACACACACACACACACACACACACACACACAATTTCTTGGTCCTAAAGTTTTTTTTTTTCTTCTTTACCCTTTTTCTTCATAATTTTGTTTTGTGGTTTCTAGTTCATGTCTTTGAACAACTCAGAACTTTTATTTTTAAAATCTCCTTTAGATTGCTCAATTTATTTATTTACTTATTGATGCTGGGAACTGAAACCAGGGATTCATGCATACAGATTGCTCTATTATTTCTAATTCTTGGGGAACGGGTTCTTCTTTCAATTTTTTGTAACTGCCATTTATGATGGATTTTAAAAATTTATTATTTTTAATTAATGAATTATAATTGTATATATTTATGGAGTACAATGGGATATCTTGCATTATGTATAAAGCGTGAAGGATTAAAGCAAGCTAATAACATATCTATCATCTCATACTTTTTTTGAGATGCGAATGATGAAAATCTATTCTTAGCAATTTTGAGATACACATTATTAACTATAGTCACTATGCTATGCAGTAAATCTATAAAACTTATTCCTCCTAACTGAAACTTTGTACCCTCTGATCAACGTTTCCCCATTCTCCCTCATCTCTAGATGATAGGTTATTTTTTGAATGGCTTATAATTTTTGACTTTAAGCTCCACTTCTGTGAAGCTTGTTTCCTTATTTTTTTGGTCCTAGGAATTGAAACCAGGGGTGCTTAACTACAAAGCCCCAAACTCAGCCATACTTTTATTTGTTTGTTTTTGAGACTGGGTCTTGCTAAGTTTCTTAGGACCTCACTAAGTTTCTGGGACTGACTTTGAACCTGTGATCCTTCTGCCTTAGCCTTCTGAGCTTCTGGGATTACAGGCCTGAACCACCATGCCTGGCTTCCTGTGGGTTTTCTATATGATCTGCGTTGTATGAGTGCCTGAGAACTTTGTTATTAAACAATTGACATCATAATTAATTATTCAGTAGTTGTCCCTCCTTTCCTCTGTAATACAATTTCTTACTGAATCATTTTCCTGCTATCAATTCCCCTCCCACATTGCAGTTCTGTCTCTTCTCTTCTCAGTTAAATAAACCCTACTTTTCCTACTCTTCTCTTTTGTTATTGTCCATGGATTTTATTCTTCAAATTTACAAAACAAGAAAACAGAAAAAAAAAAAAATAGCCGAAACAAAGAATCCAATTTCATGTCAAAATTCCAGTTTCACTACTAATCCTCCTTTCCTTGATGTATTTTTCCCCACAATGCATCATTACCCAAAATGCTTATTAGTACTTGTGTATTTATTAATTATTTAGCTCACTTTACAAAATATAAAGTCCTGTGAGGGCCAGAACTTTGTGTAGTTTTATACATAGTTGATGTAACAGTGCTGAGCACAGAAGAGGCATCTAATATTTATTGAATGAGTAAATAAATAAAAGTAGATGATACCTTTTCAGTATTCCTTATGCCTATTTCCCTATTTAATAAATATCTTTGTTCAGAATGAAGGTAAATTTTAAGCCTCTTCCCAAATTGCTGGTATATAAATAAATTATTAAATGTCAAGTGTCATATCCATATTAGCAGGAACTGTCTGCTAGTATTAGAAGTCTCAGCCTAAGGTCCATGGGTTCCAAGAATGGCCTTCAGAGATCTGTTAGATCCTTGAATTTGAGAATAAAATGTTTATATGTAGCTTCCTTCCTTCCTTGTTAATTTTTTTTTTTTTTGGTACCAGGATTGAATCAGTGGCACTTAATCACTGAGCCACAAATCCAGCCCTTTTTAATATTTTATTTAGAAACAGGGTCTTGCTGAGTTGCTCAGGGATTTGCTAAATTGCTGAAGCTGACCATGAACTCAGGATCCTTCTGCCTCAGTCTCCCAAGCTGGTGGGATTACAGGCATACACCACCATGCTTGGGAAAAGTCTTAAAGCTTCCATTAGGTTCACAAAAGGGTACATGGTCCATATAAAGCTTTTGAAGTACTTCTAGTGTCTTTGGATACCCATCAGCTAAAACCTACTACTGTTGAAGATAAAACATCATCTTTGCCTTTAAACCATCTTATCTCTTTGCTTACGTAGAAGGAAAGCACCTTGGTGTTGAAGTAACACCCAAGGCTAGTATCCATATAAATGTCCTGTAACTTGTTAGTTATGCTGTCCTCAGGAGCTCACAAAATAGCACTGACATACAAGTCAATATTGGAAAATTCCATTCAGGTTTCATACATTTAGTCTTGTTTGGCCCCAGGGACCTATGGAGTATGTCAAATCCTTTTCTACTGGTCGGTTTTAGAAGTATATAAAGAAATCATGCCGCCTCCCTGGAGACAATATCTTCAATTCCTGTGAACATGGGACAGGCAGAGAACTTTTCATTATACTGATGTTTTTGAGTACTCTCCTGTTTGCCATTAGCTCAGATTTCGACATGACACTTCTGTTAATGCAACTTAGTATCACAAGACGATTATTGTGGGCCAGCTAGGGAAGGCCTGGAAATCAGCAAGGCTGGAAACTGGTGAGAAGTCTTAGGGTCACAAATGATGTGGAATCGAGACCAGGTAGATAGAGGTAGTGAGAATGGAAAGAGGGCAAGGTATCTGCCAGGCCTGAGGACTTGGCGATTGTTGTCAAGTGGGAGAAGGGGAGGGAGGAGTCAAGAATTACATTCATGTTACAGTAAAATGAGAAGGGGCGGGTAGAGGAGACAGAGGAGAAAGACACAAGTGGCAAGAGACCTTGGCACCTCACTTCAGCGCAACACTGAATGAAAAGTGGAAGGAGAGATCCAAGAAACACATAGTTTATGACAGTTGGAGGAGAAGCAAAACAGATTAGGGCAACTTAAATGCTCCAGGAAGGCCAATTGAGGCAAGAATAGCAGAGAGGAGCGAGAGACACTGGGGTAAAAACCATGAATAATGGCAAATGTCATCTTTGGATGAGAGACTGAGCAAAGGGGTCTGCGCTAGGCAAGAGAATGATCTTTGGAGACTTCGCAGTGTTTGGCCTACTGCCTTGAACAGAGTAGGCGAGAGACGTCTGTCTGGAGAGCAGTGGAGGAACGCACCAAGCTTAAATGAATGGAGGAAGGAAAGACTGGCAGCGTAGGCTCTGCTGCGGACAGACAGCAGCCTAGATCCTGGGCGGCGGCGCGAGGCCATGGGGCGTGGCTCAGTGGCCGCCAATCGGAGCCTCAACCTCAATTCCGGCTCCGAGGCCCCGCCCCTCTAACCCCGCCCCGCCCCACTCCGGCGCCGCGCGTCGCTCTTCGCCTGTGGCGCGCGCAGCTGCCCAGCTCCCGGAAGTGCGCCCGAGTCGGCGCCGCGGGCCGAGGTGAGCTCGTGGGCTGGGCTGGGCTGGCCCGGCTGTTGGTCGCTCCGTGTCGGGCCTGCTTCCCCGGCGTCAGCGAGAGACTTAGGCGGGCCACCCGGAACGGCGGCGGAATCAGCGGACGCGCGCGTTTGTGCGCCAGGGAGCGCGCTCGCGGCCAGGGCGGGGGAGGGGCCGCCCGGGCTGTGCTTAGACTCCGGGTGCTGGGGGACACGCCTGCTACCTGACCTGGCCCGGCTCCTGGGGGTGTTGCCGGGTCTGTGCGCCGGGACGGAAAACGTCCCTGCTGCCTTCCACGGACGACTGAAAAATGAGTCTCAGGAGGAGGGCTGCCGACCTGATGTAGCCTAGGGTCTTTCTCATCAGGGTGCTATCGGTGGGGGTCAGAGGACTCAGGGTGTGGAGACCCTTCCACTGGTTAGCACGGTCCAGACAAGGCACTAAATGCCAGTAGCTGCCCCCATCCATTTATGACAACCCTCAAAGTGCCCCCCCCCCCGCAGCCTCCCAAATTAACAAACGTTGGCAGTGCTCCTCCCCTAATCGCAGGCTTTAGCACTTTCTAGGTTAGAATTTGGTTCACTTGTGAGCTTCCAAGTTTCCAGATCTGTGAACTTTAATAGGTAACCTTGCAGGGTGATTGTAAAGATCAGAAATAACGTGAGCAGAGTCTGATAGCGGATAATAATAGCTGCTCAACAAATGGTTACTTATATGTGTAACCATGTAACTTATAAGAATGCTTATATATAGGTGCACATTTAAAAATTCTGATTTGTTAAAGCCTTAATAACAAGTATGCATTTGTGGTAGGTAATTTAGGTGTTTTTGTTTGTTTGTTTGGTAACTAATGGGAGCAGATCCTCCGGAAGTCGATGGGCTATAAACTCATAAGCCCTCTATTAAGTGAAACTTTTTCTTACTACTATAATAGTGTGTATTAATTAACACCAGATTTAAATATTATTTAAGATGTATAGTTTTCCCCTTAATGGCATTTCACCTAAATTGCTGTCCTAATTCAGGAAACAATTAAATTTGAATAAGTTTACACATCAGTATCTTGCTATTTGAAATCTTGGCACTTGTTATTTAAAACTCAGAAGCCAAATTCATTTAGATAGGGAAGGATTTTTGTACATAAGCATTTTAAAATTTTATTTTATGAAATACGCTTTTCCTTTTTTCTTAAAGTGGTGCTGAGGCTTGAACCTAGGGTCTTGAGCGTGCTAGGCAAGTACTGTAGCCCTGAGCTATGCTCCTAGTTCCTCATTCATTTTTTTTTAAAGATATTTGAATGTAGGTTTCTCTGTAAGAAATACTTCAGCTGCTTTCCAGAAAGTTTGAGATACTGTTTTTATTATCATTTGTTATGAAAAATGTGTTTTAATTTTCTATATCTATTTTGACTATGGGTTATTTTAATAAATCCCATAAATTGGGATTTTTCTAAATATTGTTATTCATTTCTAATTGCACTGTAGCTAGAGAATATGTACTTTAAGTTTCCAGTCTTTTGAAATTTAATTATACATATAATCTGTTTTGATAGTGTTTATTATGCAAAAATCAGTGTATATTCTGCAGTTGTTGGGTCTAGTGTCTTGTAAATATTAATTAGTTGGCTATAATGTTATTCACATTTTCTATATCCTTATTGATTTTTGGTTTTGCATATTTATCAGTTACTGAGGAAGGGTATAAAAATCTCCAACTCACACTGAAGATTTGTCCTTTAGAATTGTTACTAGATACATACACATTTAGGGTTATGTGTTCTAGATGATTTGAATTATTTGTTCTAGTGGAATATCACCCCCTGTCCTCTAGAACTAGGGATTGAATTTGGGGCTTCATGCATGCTAGGCAGGCACTGTATGGTTAAACTACACCCCCAGCCCTGAAATAGTCTTTTTATTTCTCTTCATATGACATCTACATGTACTAGTATAGCCACAGTAATTATTTATTTTTCATGAATTATTTTTCATAAGAAAATGACTCTTTATTTTTCTCTTTGTCTTGGTCACATACTAGCCATATCAACTTTCCTATGTTTGCTCTTTGCATAGACTTTTTCTCATCCTTTTATTTTCAACCTATCCATATTTTTATATTTAAATTGTCTCTTGCAGATGGCATATAATTGGGTCTTGCTTTTTACAATTAGATAAACTCTGTCTTGTAATTTGAGTGTTTAGTCTGTTTGTATTTGCAGTTTTTGATATTGCTTCCCTGTTGCCATGAGTTGAGCATGCCTTTCTGCCATGACGCTTTACCTCATCTCAAGCTCAAAGTAGTGGAGCCAGTTGACCTTGCACTGAAACCTCTGATACGGTGAGCCCAATAAACCTTTCCTCCTCCAAGTTGTTTGTGTTTGGTATTTGGGGATGAAAAGCTGACTAACACAAGTGTTAAGGGAGTCTTTTCATTCTGGATTGTTGAAACTCTGGTGTCTCTCATTATCAATTGGCTTCTGTCTTTTGCTTTTAACACTGTCACAACTGCTCCTTGTTAAACCTTGCAGTTTCATCATACTGATTGCAATCCAACCCTTATCCCAAGAGCTTATGGGGCCATCCTCCTCTTTTTTGATTTTTAAATTATATTCTGATAAGGAAGAATTATTTTTGAAGAATGTTGCTTATTACATCTCAAGAAAAATGCAGCTATTAAAAAAGCTAGAATTGTGTACTGATCTCTGATTCAACCAGAAATCCAGGTGACTTTTTTTTTTTTTTTTGTGTGTGTGTGTGTTTTGATTATTGCCATTAGTATTAAGGAGGACTGATGATTTTTTGCTCCTTCATAACATTTACAGACTGATTACTAATCCATTGTTAGGAATACCTGCATGAAAGTTAACCAGAAATATGAAATATGAAGTTACTGATCCTTTTAATATATACACACATATATATATATGTATATATACATATATATATATATATACACATATATATATATATATATATGTATATATTTTTTTGTTTTTGTTTTCTACTGGGGATTGAACCCAGGAATGCTTTGTCACTGAGCTACATGCCCAAGACTTTTTCTTTTTTATTTAGAAACAGGGTCTCACTATGTTGCTTAGGGCTTCACAAAGTTTCTGAGTCTGGCCTTGAAGTTGCAATTCTTCTGCCTCATCCTCCCAAGTTGCTGGCATTACAGATGTGTGCCACTGCACTCTGCTTAAATATATTAATATTAACCTTGTCACTTACTGCTATTCAGTTGCTATCTTCTGAATTTCTATGTTAGTCATCTCGTCATCACTGTGTCTGAATACCTGAGATAAACAACTTAGATGGAGGAAAGGTTTATTTTGGCTCACAGTTTCAGAGTTTTCAACCTATGGTCACTTGGCCTTGTTGCTTTGGCATGTGGTGGCACGGTATATGTATCATAGTGGGAGCATGAAGCAGAGGGTGCCTGTTCATCTGTTATGGAAACAGCTCATCCTTTCAGCCTATATTCCTAGGGCATGAGTGTCTTTGTCCAGCTTTATTTTATAACCTGCAGATACAGAAATGTTTTGCAGAAGAGCTGTTTACCTGGAAACCAATAGTGAAAATGCTTATGTAGTGCGTTTCCTTCTTTACATGGTCTAGACATTTGAAGACCAAGGGAGAACATTACACAACATCAGGGCAATGCTGGCTCTTTAGATAATGGTATCAAGTTTGCTCTGAGGTTTCAAGTTTGCATCTTTCAAAATAGAATAGTGTATATGTTGAGCCATTTCAAAAGACCCATGATTGACCATAGGGCTATTCAGGTAGGGCATATGCATTGTTCTTTTTGAAAATGTGTTTTTCTCCTCTGTGTAGCACTCAATATCATCTTCTCTTTAGCATTCCTGAGAGGATTTGGTTCTTCCCAGAGACAATCCCACCTCAGAAACACTTCTCCTAAAAGAACTTGTGAAGCCAGACAATGCCCATTGACCTGGGGCAGGCCCTAGGCCTGCTGCCCTCATTGTCGAGGAGTGAAGACTTTTCCTTCTCTGGACCAGATGCTGCCCCTCAAGGGGAGCTCTCCAGCCCTGAGACTGCACGCCAGCTCTTCAGACAGTTTCGTTACCAAGTGCTGTCTGGGCCCCACGAGACCCTCAGACAACTTCGAAAGCTCTGTTTCCAGTGGCTGCGGCCAGAGGTTCATACCAAGGAGCAGATCCTAGAGATTCTCATGTTGGAGCAGTTTCTGACCATTCTCCCTGGAGAGATCCAGATGTGGGTGCGGAAACAGTGTCCAGGCAGTGGAGAAGAAGCAGTGACCCTTGTGGAGAGTTTAAAAGGAGATCCGAGGAGACTGTGGCAGTGGGTAAGCAGAAGTATTATTATCTGTGAGTAAAGCACAGAGCTTTTCTGATGCTCATCTGGTATATTGTCTTATTTCTGATACCATTTTGACACCAAATGTGTGGGATTTTCCACACCAAAACCCAATTCTCTGATTCTCTGAAACAAACTGAGCATTCAGCATTTCAGTTCAATTCTGACATTATCTGGAGTTAGCACATATACCACCCATGCAAGGCCCACTCCCACAAGACTGTTCCCTGACTTCAGATGCCAGTCTCAAGTTCTAGGCATAAGGTGTCCTTCTGAAAATCTGGCTATGATTGGGCAGTTCTCACAGTTTCCTCTTCAGATCTGATAATTAGAATGGCATACAGGATTTAGGAAAGTACTGTACTTACTGTTTCCAGTTTACTATAAAGGATACAACTCTCTAGCAGCCAAATGGGAGAGGTGCTTGGGGTGTTTCCCTTCCCTCCCCTCTCCTGGTGTACTTAATAATACCTCAGTTAATTCAACAACGTGGAAGCTCCCTGAGCTCCAGCATTAAAAAATTTTTATGATAATGATGGATTTTTGAAAATGTGTAACAATGTAGACACTTGAATACCGAAGTTCATAGCAGCATTATTTGAATAGTAATGGGTGAAAACAACTCAAATATCCATCAACAGATGAGTGATAAACCAGTGTGGTATGCACATACAATAAAATATTATTTACTGTTACCATGAAATTAAATTCTGTTACATGCTACAAGATGGAAAAATTATGCAAAATGAAATAAACCAGACACAAAGGTCTAAAAAACAAAAAGAAATTTTTATGAGGGCTGGGCTGTGGCTCAGTGGTAAAGTGCTTGCCTAGCATGTGTGTGGCATTGGGTTCGATCCTCAGCATCACATAAAAATAAATAAATAAAGCAAAGCTCCATCTAAAAAAAAAATTAAACAAAAAGAAAAGGAAAAGTTTTTATGAGGGTCTCACTGTTTCTACACAATTGATTAAATCATTTCCATTGGTGATTGAAGATCTTCAATTTCTTTCCTTTCTCCAGAAGTTAGGATATTGGGGCATTGAAGTTTCAATTCTTTAAACTTCACAATCTTTCTTCATCTTGAAGCCATCTAGGATTTACTAATAGTTAACTCATTGGCATAACTTCTGGTATGGCTGACAAGGCCATTATGAATAACATTTCTTTTAGGAAGACATTTCTTTTAGGAAGTTACAGAGTTCTAGGAGCTGTATGCCAGGAATCAAGGACAAAGACCATTTTTTTTTTTTTTTTATGGTACTGGTGATCAAACCCAGGGATGCTCTACCAGTGAGCTGCATCCCCAGCCCCCCTTTTTTTGTTGTTGTTGTTTGTATGTTTTAAGACAGGGTCTCACTAATTTGCCCAGCCTGCCTCAGACTTGAACTTGTGATCCTCCTGCCTCAGTCTCCCAATTAGCTGAGATTACAGGTGTGGGCCACTAGACCTGGCCTAATTATGTTTTTTACACCACATCTGCATTTCTTCATACCTCACCTAATTCTGACTCTGACTTTCAACGCTTAAGCCATTGGGGATTGAAGATAAAGTTTCCCTTCCCATTCTATGTTTAGAACATTTTAGTTATTAAAAAACACCTGAGTTTTAATTGGTGGAGAATGTCTAGTAGAAATAATATAGTGGCATGTTTTAGAGGTCTCCTAGGCTGATTCAGGCCTTAGCTTTTAGTGTGTCTTCTGATAGTCCATTCATTGGTTCCTGTTAAACTAAAAGTAGAAGCTGGTTTTCTCTTTCTCTACTTATTCCATATCTTCTAGGAAGACTATCTTCCAGTCTGTTACAGGAGGCTTGCTCCATATCCTTTAGAAATCCTAACTCTGCATCCTTTAGTAATTAGTGTTGTCTGTTCTCTAGATCAGCATTCAAGTTCTAGGACAGGAAATCTTATCAGAGAAGAAGGAATCCTCCATATGCCAAGTGGGTGAAGTGGAGCCCCAGCTTGAAGTGGCACCTCCAGAGTTGGGACTTCAGAGTACATCCACAGGACCTCGGGAGCTGCTCAGTCACATGGTGAAAGAGGAATCTGAAGTGGAACCAGAATTAGGTGAGGAGCAGTTATCCATGGTAGTGTGTGGTGCTGTCTTAGAGAAATTTAGGGATTGTGGTCAGTAGGCCTAGTGTTAGTTGAAATGATATGGTGTCCCTGAAAGTTTGGAAAAGGTAGATTTACATGTACCAGTTTGACTTGGAGATTCAATTTTGTATTTTAAACCACTTTGTGCTGAGGCCAGACCATTTGGATTTTGGTTTTGAGGATGGAAAGTGGAAGAAAGAAAGAAAACTGGAAGTTTGGGGGAATTTGTTAGGAGGTACACACAAATCCTGAAATTCAAATGGCAGAATGGATTGTTCTAATTTGTGGGGATTATTTTCTGTACTCTCTGGGGAGTGGTTAAGGAAAACATCTAGATTCTGAAAACTTCCTTTTCTCACTGCAGCTCTGGCTGCTTCCCAGCTTCCTGCCCAACCTGAGGACAGGCTCATTAGAGACCAGGACTTTGGAGCTGCACTTCTCCCTGCAGCCCCTCAGGTGAGCTGGGTCCCTGCGTCTCTTCCCTGGAACCAGGCTTCAAGGGCAGGAGGATTGGGCAGGAGGATTGCCAGGGGTACAGTTACTGAAGGGGAGTAAACAGGAAGGCCTGGTTGTAAAGTTATAGTAAATGTAGAATGAACTCTGTGTTTTTACTTAAGACAGAATGTTTCCTAATTGTCATCTTGAGTAAAGGAATATGGCAAATCGTGTCTCTACCCAAGTATGGTCATCTTTTTATTACTTTTAGGTTATACTAAGACAAGACTGTCTTGGTTGGGTGTGGTGGCACCTGCCTATAATCCTGGCTATTCAGGAACCTGAGTTAGAAGAATTGAGAATGGGTAACATAGGACAAAACAAAAACAAAACAGAAAAGAAAAGAAAAATCTGTTTTATTTCCTAGTATAGTTTTCATGGGAGTCATTTTAATTTGAATGATTATTTCTAATGTACAACAGGTGACTCGCTGACTTTATGTAAAAATAAAATTAGCAAACTGACTACATATATCTAAAATGTACAATTTGGAAAGTTTTGACATCATATTTGGTCCTAATACCGTGACCACAATCAGTATAGTAAATATACCCACCACACTGTAAAGTTTCCTCTCTCTGGTCCCTTTTTGCCTTCTCACATCATCCTGAGATAATTAAGGATCTAACTTTCTGTTACTGCACATTAGTTTGTGCTTTCTCAGATTTTATATACAATGGAATCATGCCAATAAGTCTTAATTTTATTTTTGCCGTTCTGCATGTAGTATATGTTTTTTGTTTACCTTAATATATTCTCACTTTTAAAAAAATATCTTTATTTTACTTGTTTATTTTTATGTGGTGCTAAGGATTGAACCCAGTGTCTCACATGTGCAAGGCAAGCACTCTACCTCTGAGCTACAGCCCCAGTTCTCACTGGTTTTATTTAATTTTAATTTTAACTTGATTTTTTTTTTTTTTTTTTTTGTGCTGGGGAGTGAATGTAGGCTTTTGAGCTTGTGAAGCTGCATTCCTAGCCTGGATAGGGGATATTTTTGTATTTCCATAAGTGTTCTTGAGCTTTACTCTGGGATGCAGTAAATTGGTTGGACAAAATTTGTTATACAGTGGTTTTCTCTGATTTGGAGGAGATGTGTTTCAGTACCTCTAGTGGATTCCTGGAACCATATATAATTTTTTTTCATATCCTTAACATGCCTATGATTAATTTACAAATCAGGAAAGATTAGAGGTTAATAACTAATAATAAAGTAGAACAATTATAACAATATATTGTAATAAAATATATCTGGATATGGTCTCTCAGATATCTTATTGTTTTGTTCTTACCCTCGTAGTGTGATGTAAGATGACACAAGACCTGTGTGATGAGATGAAATGAGGTGAATGACTACATACTTACTGCTCACTGTGGCCATAACTTGTGCAACCTCAGCATATGAGTTTTAAAAATTATCATGTTGAAAACTTTCGTATTTTTCACTTAAAGGAAGCACTTTGTGACTTCTCTTTGACATATCCACTACTCTTAAATTTTGGGCCTTTATTATGTAAAATAAGGGTTATTGAAAACAAGCACTGGGATACCATAATAGTGGATCTGATAACAAACATGGTTACTAAATGTAGTGTGTACAATGTGGATATGCTGGACAAAGGGATGATTCATGTTCTGTGAGAGATTTTATCTTGCTACTTAGAATGATGTGCAATTTAAACTTACGAATTGTTTATTTCTGAAATTTTCCATTTAATATTTTCAGACCACAGTTGACTATGAGTAATAAACCATGGAAAGTGAAACTTGGATTAACGGAGATTACTAGTTTTTGTTTTTTGGTTTTGCCATAGTAGGGATTGAACCAGGAGTGGTCTACCACTGAGCTATACCCCAGCCCTGTTAAATTTTATTTTAAGATAGGGTCTTGCTAAGTTGCTGAGGCCTGCCTTGAACTTGCAATCCTCCTGACTCAGCCTTCCTAAGTTGCTAGGATGACAGATGTGCATCACCATGTCTGGCTAAGTGGGATTACTTTATAGTACCAGAAAAGCCTTTAATATAGGGTTAATTTTACCCCCTACTGTGGCAGTAGCCTTCTGAGTATTCTGCCTACTACCTCTTACTCTACTGGGTTTTCCACTCTAGCTGGTAGAAGTAGCTGTGTGAGTTTGAGGAATGTTCCCTCTGATTCTTTCGTGTGATCCTTTTCTCTGACTTGAGGAGGACCCCTCTCTAGATCTCTCAACCTCTCTTTGTACAGCTTCTTCATCTCTGATCTTCAGCCCTGCTAACTGTAACCACAGTGACCTCTTCATACTCTGAGCTCCTTCTGCTTAATTCTGGGGGCCTCCTGGCTCCACTCGGGTTCCTCCTTTCTGTGATGCTGCCTGGGTTCTCCAGGAATTATGTATGGACAACTATAGGACCCAGTTTGTTTGCTTGCCTTCAGGGACCTCTTTTCTGCTTAATGTGCAACATCTGGAAGCCATCACTTCATATATTTTGTCTCCCTTTTAGTTGTTCAATGCAGAAAGAGAACTTAGTTCCTGATACTCTATTCTGGGTTTAGAACAAAGTCTCTGGGACAAGTGTAATTGTTTATTTTTATGTGGTGCTGATTATGTAATTACTAACTTTGAAAAGTTGTATTTGATTTAAAAAATTCTTCAGGAATCAATATATCTCAATTGAAATATCGTTTAAAATTTTCAAAATGCTCTTCTTGGGACTTGTTTTGGGAAGTACTTCAGAGTAAAGGCAAAAATAGAGAAGGCTATAAATAATAGGTGGTCCTTAATGCCATATCTAGACCAGGGTCTGAGTTTCAGCTTTCTGGGTTGAGAGACTTAGAAAGTAGAATACCAGTGTTGCAGTTTTTCTTTGGCGAAGGAGAACAAAGAGGTGGCAGGAGAGGAATATGCCTTTTTTAGTGAATCAGGGTTCCAGAAACCAAGTCAAGATGTTAAGCAGGAGGTTACTTGGTGAAAAAGATTTGGGATGCTGGACATATACTTCAGTGCTAGAGCACATGAGAACAAAGGTTTAATCTCTAGCTGAATGAATGAATGAATGAATGGATGGATGAATGAGGTATTCTATGAAATATTTCAATCAGGCATAGAGGATTATTGCCTCTTACATACAGTATCCCTATGACAGTCATATATAACTTATTAACATGTTTTAACTAGTGGAGTAACACGGACATTAGCCATTTCCTGTTCTGGAGAACTTTAAAAGATCAGAATATTTGGCAGCACCAATCCATTATTGACAATTACATATACATATATATGTTTCTACGTGGAGCTAGTAACTGATTATGAACCACTCAAACAAACATCATCCACACCCAATCCCAACATCCCTCCCCCAAACTAAAAACAATTATCTGCCTCAGGAAAAACCTTGATATTTAATGAATTCATTGGAAGTTTGAAGGAAATTTTAAATATAAATAATTACTTCTGATCTAATGCAGGCATTAGGAGCTTTGTGAATAATACTAGAATAATGAAGTGGGGTCACTATCACTACACAATAGTACTTTATCATCAGAAACCATGACTAAGTTGGACCCTCATCTAGACTGGAGGGATGGATGCATTTACCTCCCAGATATTTTTTTCAAACATGTAGGATAGGAGCACTCCTTGTGAAGTCAGGTGTCATAATGTCTTGTCAATCCACAAGATGGTGCTATTTCCACACAAAAATAGAGCTGTTTGGAAATTGGACTTTTTTTCTTCTCTCTAAATATGAGAAAAGAGCAAGATGGCTAGTATTTGCATTCTGTGTCTCAAGTGGGGGCTTCATTCATACTCTTGAGCATCTTGGCAGCTCCTTGAGTAAGTGTGTCACTTTAAGCTGGAGGTACACTGTTTAGAGACTCCTGAAAGTAACTTTTCTGGCTTTTGAATAAACTGATGAACCCTTGTGGGCTTTGAGGCTTATATCCTTTTTTGTCTTTTACTGATGATTCTTCTTGTCCCCATGGAATAGGCCCAAATCATAACACTACCATCCAAACCATAACACTATCTTCTTTGATGACTAAGACAGATTTGCTTCAGGACTGAGAATGCCATTCCTGAGGGAAATATTTATTGTATGTGATAGGAAGATGACTTCATCATTCCTCTCGTCATTTCTGCCTCTGGCTTATTACAACATAATGCCTGGCTATAAACTTAAGGGTCCCTGAAAATAAACAGAATACCTTCCGTAGTTTTCCTGCAAAGCCTGGGATGAGTCCGGGAGACTGCAGAGAATGGTAATAATATATCATCTACTGAGGACTCGGTCTGAGAGCTTTATGTTGGCCTGACAATATATGTTGAGTGCCTACTGTGTCACAGGCAGTGGAGAGTAAAAAGAGTAAAAAGAGTAAAAGACCAAGTTCTTTTCTTGAGCAAGCTGGCCATCCAGTCAGACATTACTGAGCTTGGTGGCTGTGTCCTTTTCTTTACTAACACTGAAGTGAGGATCCATGTGTTCTGACCACGAAGACTAAGGACTCCTGTTTTCAGCAAGATTTGCTCAGGCTGGTTATCTTCAGGAGGTTATTAAAATAGCCTTATTTATAGAGCATTAACAAAATAAACTGCCAGCAGCTCATACTTTTTTTTTTTTTTTTAACTGGTATGGGGGATTGAACCCAGAGGAACTTTTCTACTGAACTATATATCCTCAATCCTTTTTACTTTTTAGTTTGAGACAGGGTCTTGTTGAGGCTGACCTTGAACTTATTATCCTCCTGCCTCAGCCTCTCCAGTCACTGGGATAATAGGCATGCACCAGTATCCCTGGCTTAGTGCAGACTTTTAAACATTTTAAATTGAAATTCATATTAAAAATGTGGTTCTAGGGCTGGGGTTGTGGCTCAGTGATAGAATGCTTGTCTAACATGTATGAAGCACTGGATTTGATTCTAAGCACCACATATAAAAAAATAAAATAAAGGTCCATTGACAATTAAAAAATATTTAAAAATGTGGTTCTAGCTATAGTTCTAGCTTCCTGCCTTTTTTCCACACTAAAAGATTCAGATTTTCCTTTTTAAAATTATTTTGGCTGAGCATCTTCTAATTCAAGACTTTTTGGTGTCTCCTTTCTCCTTGAGTCATTTCCACCTGTTTTAGTCAGCTATTTCACTGCTATGACTAAAAGACCTGACCAGCACAATTATAGAGGAGGAAGAGTTTATTTAAGGGCTCACAGTTACAGAGGTCTTAGTCCATAGAAGGCCAGATCCCTTTTTCGGAGTTTGAGATGAGGCAGAACATTATGGTGGAGAGCAGCCGGCGCCCAGAGTGTGACTCGCCCGCTTTGCACTGCCTCTTCCACCTCTGTGTCTCGCTGCCGTCGCTGCGCAGCCATGTCCAAGGAGAAGCTCAAGGAGGGCGTGAAGACGGAGAATGACCATATCAACCTGAAGGTGGTGGGGCAGGATGGCTCAGTGGTGCAGTTCAAGATCAAGAGGCATACCCCATTGAGCAAGCTGATGAAGGCCTACTGCGAGAGGCAGGGCTTGTCAATGAAACAGATTAGATTCAGGTTTGATGGGCAACCAATTAATGAAACAGACACTCCAGCCCAGCTGGAGATGGAGGTTGAGGACACCATCGACGTGTTCCAGCAGCAGACGGGAGGCATGGCCTCCAGAGGGACCACCCCACACCCCGCCATCGACCTTGCATTTGTAATTGAATGGTGAGCGACCATGCTGATCACAGAGGAGTCCGAGAAAGACAAGGACAGTCACCAAAACGATCCTCGAAGCACTTCAAGTGCAGCTCAAAACTCTGCAGGGATGAGTCTACAGCTTACATTGGGCCAATCACATTGTTCTCTTTGTGAAATGAGTTTTAAGGTTTGGGGTTTGCTTTTGTTCTTGGTTTTGTTCATTGCCCTTCTCAAAACATGTTTTCCTTCAAACTTGTGGCCAAATGTTGGCTTTCAGTCTGTGGCTAGGCTCTCACCCCTTGAGTAGTGGTTACTGCTGGAGCTACTTGTCCGAATCACGTGGAGAGCTCATGTTCACACTGTGCATCTGTGGAAGAATGTTGCGGGTAGAATTCCACCAGGCATATTATTCTAAAAGCTGCAAATGATAGACTTTATCAAACATATGGTTTAGTTGAAGGCAAAATACTGGAATACTTCTTCAAAAGTAAAAAACAAAATAAGTCCTTCAGTAATAAGGCCCAAGTGCTTTCTGCTCCTGAGTGTGTTCCCTCTGGGTCTGAGGCCCAGGATGACATGTTTGCATTCAGTGCCTGGGTGTGGTTATGTGGGCAATGATTGGCACAACCAAAACCAGCTTTTATCTTTTCAAAACTAGGAAATAATTACCATATTTCTCATTTGGTAATTGTATCGTGGCCTCAGATTTACTTCTAACAGATAATTATGGTCTTTATATAAAGTAAAATGAAATATCACTGAATTTACAATTATGTTATAAAGAGCTGCTTCAAAGTGTGGTTGCAAAAGAAACCCACAGAAAGGTGACTTTAGTGTTCTTATGGATTTTTACTTTGCCACTGTCCAAATAAGTATCGAAATTATGCATTAGAACAGTGACTCCAGTTCTGTGAGATATTTGTGAATCTTTATCAATTAAAATGTTCATAGTTCTGCCTGTCGTCCTGTAAGGATCCATTGCTGCTTGATGGCCATTCTCTGCCTTTTATAGTCCCCTAACAGTAACCCATCACCTTGCTTGCTTGAGATCTTGCAGAAATGTCCTCATTTTCTGTTTTGCTGTATGGGCTCTGGTGGGATGTTGTTGGCTCTGTTGTTTGTTCACCAATTTGTATATTATGTTACCCTTTACTACTGTAAACAGTAAAGATAGTTTGGTTAAAAAAAAAAAGAAGAACATTATGGTGAAAGAGTGTGGCAGAGGGAAGCAGCTCACAGGTGTGATCGGGAAGCAGAGAGAGAAGCTCCACTAGCCAGATACAAATATGTACCCCAAAGCCACACCCCAATTTCCACCTCCTCTAGCCACACCCTACCACTCCAGTACACTCAGTTAATCTCTATCAGGAGATTAATTCACTGATTGGAATAAGACTCTTACAACACAATAATTTCTCTGAACCTTCTTGCATTGTCTCATATGCGAGCTTTTGGGGAAAACACTTCACATCCAAACCATAACACTACCTTCTTTGATGACTAGGACAGATTTACTTCAGGATGAGAATGCCATTCCTGAGGGATATATATATTGTATGTGATAGGAAGATGACTTCATCATTCCTCTCCTCATTTATGCCTCTGGCTTATTACAACATAAAGACTGGCCATAAACCTAAGGGTCCCTGAAAATAAACAGAATCCCTTCCTTAGTTTTCCTGCAAAGTCTGGGGATGAGTCTGGGAGACTTCAGAGAATGGTAATAATATATCATCTACTGAGGACTTGGTCTGAGAGCTTTATTTTAGCCTGACAATATATGGAGAGTAGGACCTAGTCCTTTTTTGGAGTTTAGTGCTAGTAGAGGTGATGATTAATCAAATACGTGTGTGTGTGTGTGTGTGTGTGTGTGTTATACATATATATATATATACATACACATATAAGTATTTAATAAACTGATGATTGCTATAAATTAAATGTATGATGTACTTTGAAAACAGTAGACACTGTCTTGTTTCTTCCAAACCTCCCTACAAGTTTTTAAGTTCAGTACTGTCATTAGGTGAGGACCAGAACTCTAAAAGGTTAAGTAACTTGCTTGAAGTTATACAACTAGAAATTAGCAAGGCTGGGACTTGAAGCCCAATATATTCTACTCGAAAGGATGGGTGCTAATCATTCCGAGTTTCCAATGGTCTACTTCATAGTGGGGAGATTGAAATTAGAATTTTTAAAAGTAAATCCTAGTTGGGTGGCATTCCCAATTTTGTTTCTAGTCTGATTCCATGGGAAAAGAAGGCTGCTTTGTGGATAATAGAGGGATACCTTGCTCCAGAAAACATATTGGTTTTCCCCTGACTAGGAATAAAACCAATTTAGTGTTAGGCTGTGCATACAGAACTGTTGAGAAATTTCAGGGGTGAATGGCTGCAACATCTCTCTTTTGAATCTACCAATTTTTGTTTCAGAGTAAGGCTTACAAAACAGTTGGCTTCACTATCGACTCTTCTCACATTTTCACTGATTTTTACTTGCTTTCCCAATAAGTTCCTTTTAAATTTCTTTGTTTTCCTTCTTGAATTTTCATTAAATAATGAATATATCAAGTTCTATTGCCAGACTCATACTATAAGCACTTGAAAGAGTTAAGAAAAAAAGGAACAGTATAGAAAAGGCTTCTCCTGTAAATACCTGTAGTCTCCCACAAAACCAGAACTTAAGCCCTAAGTGTTTTCTAACCAAAACAAAAAATACTGATGTGAAGTATTGTCATTTTCCCCTTTCCCTGTTTGTTTCTTGACTCATTCTCCCTTAAGTTATTATATCTGCTGATGAGTAGAATCCTACAGCGTATTCCATTCTTGTCAGCTTTCCTATAGGAAAGAAATGCAGGTTTAAACACCTTCATTGGAGTGACAGCATTGTATTTTTTCCAGGAGCACTGGAGACACCTGGATTCCAGTCAAAAGGAGCAATACTGGGATCTCATGCTGGAGACCTATGGGAAAATGGTCTCAGGAGGTGAGGGCATGGGTCAGCTTTGACAAAGGGTGATGGAAAGGATGGAAAACTGTTAGGCATTTTCTTTGCACTCAGAGACATCTGCTCAAATTTAAGTTCTGTGGGTAAAGGAAGTCTATTTAGAGACACAGTTAGGAACTGGAGCTAGTTGCAGAGTTATAGTCGAACTTCCTTGTATTGAAAGTGTTCTGTATTCCAGGAACATTTGTGAGAGTTATGTACAGTAACATCTTTAATTTATGAAGTTGGTATTTCCCTTTAAAGATGATGGAAGTGAGTGCCAGCTCAGCACTTGCTCATTGTTACAGAGCTCTTAAGTGCCAAATTAAGATGGGACTAATTGTGATTGGCTCTGAGTCCAAGCTCTTTCCTACTAAATCACACTGCCTCAGAATAACCACTGGTGAAATCTCTATCCACGATCCTTGCACCAGCCTGACAGTGGTCTGCTAGTTACCTGTCCAGATTCTTGTTTTTTTGTGGCCTTTACATATGTCCTGGTCTAATAGTGAAAACTGGTGTCTTAATCTTTTCCATGCTCTATTCTCATGTAAGCTTCCCTAAGTGGTCTTGGAGCCTTCACATTTCCCTTCATGCTAGGGTGTTCCTTTGAGAAACAGCTCAAGCTCCCAGACATCCCCATTCATGAAGGCCCACATGCTTATCTTTCTGTCACAGGCATTTCCAACACTAAACCTGACCTAACTAATTCAACAGTATATGGGCAAGAGCTGACAGGACTGCAGCTTCATGTCAGTGAGAAGATCCCACGACTCACTTGTGTAGGTAAGTGATTTATCATTGCTGTGGAGCCCTTTCTTATTTCCTGTTCTTAAATTGAAGGTGGAAGAGGATGTATTAGGACTTTAGTTTCTATTCCATTGATTAGACCTAGCCTGATTGGGCCAGTCTGGTTTGAATCCAAAGTTAAGTGTCCTTTTCTCTGGCTATAGGGCTGTTAATTCATATATTTAATCATGAAAGGAAGATCACACACACATTGGATTTGCTGTCATCAATCTTGTCTCTTGTGATAGCTTTGTTTCTCAGAGTTAAGAGTTACACATTGAGGACCTGTAGAGATATAGGGAGAACTCCATAAAAAAAGATTTTATAACAACCATTATTGTCAATCCTAGCAAGAAGGTTCAAAGTAATTAGAATTTTCTCATTTTGGTTATAGTGAATAGTAACCACCTACCCTCAGCAAAATAAAATAAACAGAGAAACATGTTTTCTTTAATCTCTTCATACCTAACAGTCATTAAATAATTCATATTAGTCATGTATTTTAAGACTGGGGAAGAAGAAATTTGAATGTATTGTTGTAAAATGTGCTGTTGTAAAATGGCAGTTACCCTTTGCTTTCTATGCTTTTTCTAAAACATGGCAATTGTGCAAAACTTAGTTATCTAACCAGTACATACACTCTCATCCCTGTTCACACACTTTTACATATGTAATAAATCCCAGAACCCTAGAAGAAGAAAAGGAAAGGATGGGAGAAGCAGTTCTTGGCCCCAGTAGTCTAATTAACTATTTTTCTTCGCTAAAGCATCAACTAAGACCTAAGATTTTCTTTTTCTTTCTTTCTTTCTTTTTTTTTTTTTTTTAATTGGGGGATCTAACCCAGGACTTTGCACATGCTAGGCATGTATTGTACATGTACCTTTGCTCTACACCAACCGTAATTTTACTTCTAAGCTGTTCTTTAATGGTAGGACTGGAAATAAAAAGATGCTTGGGAAAAATAATGAGTTTAGTTTTTATTTATGTCTCTTTTAGTCAGCTTTTTTGCTGCTGTGACCAAAAGAGCTGAGTAGCAGAATTAGAGGAGGAAAAAGTTTATTTGGGGGCTCGCAGTTTCAGAGGTCTCAGTCCATAGACTGCTGGCTCCATTCCTTGGGGCTCAAGATGAAGTTGAATATCATGGTGGAAGAGTGTGGTGGAGAGAAACAGCTCAAGACATCACACCAAGAAGCAGAGAAAGAGCGCTCTGCTCATCAAGTACAAAATATATAGCCCAAAGGTGCACCGCAGCCTACCAGGCTACAGTTATCACTCAGTTAATCCTTATTAGAGAATTAATTCATGGATTGTGATAAAGCTCTCATAACCCAATCATTTTCCCTCTAAACATTCTTGCATTGTCTCACACATGAGCTGTGGGGGACACCTCATATCCAAACCATAATGTATTATACCAAAATAAGTTGGAAATACAGTTTTAAAAGATATAATATGAAAGTAAAGTAAGAAGATAAAAATGAGTGAATATTTTTATTGTGACTGGATAAGACAATTTTTTATAAGTATAAAAGTGATGAAAAGGGGCTGGGGATGTGGCTCAAGCGGTAGTGCGCTCGCCTGTCATGTGTGTGGCCCGGGTTCCATCCTCAGCACCACATACAAAGATGTCGTGTCTGCCGAAAACTAAAAAAAAAAAAAAAAAGAAAAGAAAATGAAGGAATCTACATTAAAAAAAAAAAAGTCCCGACTTATGTTTCTAACCACTGCATCAAAAATTAGGGGAAACTGGGAGATAGAGATAATGAAAATAATGAAATTTATAGTTGCTATGAAGATCTCTGAGCAGACTTTCCCAATTACTGTACCACATTTTCAACATGCACACATGAGTTCAGTTCTGTCTCGACTCAGATCTGTCTCCGGATCTTCTTGTGTGCCCCACCCTATGTCTGCAGCACATTTCCTTCTGCAGCACGTTCCATGAGCTCATGCGTTTTCAATTATTCAATCATCCCCTAAAATTACTACCTTTCAGGATGCCTTTTTGTACTAACTAGTAGAGTGGTAGTGATTTCCCTTGGAATATCTGTCTGAAACAATCTTTTCAGACTTTGTTTTCTTCACTTATGAAATGAAATGAGAGTCTGGCTTAGATCATCCTAGGTGCTCTTATGGTTAGAATATTCCCACCAAAACCTGTGTTGAAATTTAATCTTTACTGGTAAGTATTAAGAGGATGGAAATGTAATTCAAATATGGCATTTGGAGATGGGATCTTTTTGTGAGGTAACTGAGGCTAAATGAGGTCCTCTGTCACCTTGGGAATCTATAGTCCCCACCAGCAAGACGGACCTCCCCAGATATGGGCTACTCAATCCCCCCCCC